AATTTCCATATTTTTGATGCAGAAAAACTTGTCTGTACTTGAACTGCACATTTTGTTGCACTTATCCTTCTCATAGGTCAATTCCTCATGGGCTTCGCATGCAAAGGCGTCGGCCTGCTCATTAATTAGTGAAAATAAACTTGAAAGTTCCGCTGAAGCAAAAAGTGAATGAATAAAGGAAAGTGAGCGTCAATTGAATTTAGTGAACAAACCAATGAAAGAATGAAACATTATAAACAACTTCTTCAAATTCAATTAAATCTCGATCAAATCGCCACTAATTTATAGTTGCATGCATTTCCACAACAAAACAAACCAGAGCGGCTCGTATTGCCACATAGACAATGCACTTCGTGCATATGCTTAAAGTGCACTTCTAGTTTACAACATTAACATTGAAATTGAAAAGTGTAACCGTTCGAATGCATGTCTAGGTGTAGATCTATTCGGAAAGTATGCACAATTGTTTCCGTATTGAAAGAGAATTTGTTCAGCATCTAATTTGAAGCATTAAAATAAAATGAGTGTAATTTTTCCATTAGGATTTGCTCTCAATTTGCAAGAACCGCTTCCATATACGGTGGGCGAACGACATGGAAGTATGGCCAGTGCAGAATCCATTAGAGCACATTCCAAATTACCATGTGACGTAACACGGTAACAACTCGTGACTGAAATCGATTGCGGAAAAATTGCCGATTTATGTGTCCGCGATCGGTGTCATGGTTAAATGTACTTTCCGCAGGCAAAAATCAAGTCCAAAAAAATCACATACGGTAGTATATGGACCATTATCGATTGCTTCGTTTGGAATTCAAATTAAATTGAGCCAGTTGATCATAAATGCGATCAACTTGCGTGGACTTTTTTAACAACTTTATCACCCAGTCGATTTCAATATTAACACAAAAATCTACGTTTACGTGTTTTATTATGTATTTCGTCATCAGTTTCATGCATATTTTATTGACTCAAATGTGTTAAATTTCGCAACCCTAACAACTATTATATGCAGTTAATATGTTGCTGCTTATTATGCAAAAATCACCTATCTAGTTTACATATTTCAGACGATTTATTTCCAGCGCAATCCTGTTAGATTAATTAAAACGGTTTATGAAATGTGTAACACCATTGTGACCTACGGTATATCCGTATGGAAAATGAACCGTATTGATTGAAAAAATGGGCGCGGTTGTTTCTACGTGTTGAGTTTTTTAATTTATTTTATCAGAAGTTAAATAGTTTTCAAGATTTCATTCGTTCAAACCGAATTGAAAACAGGACTCGCATTGGAAAAACTCCTAGCAGCCTCGCTGGATGGAGGAACTTTTTTCGCTTTTCACCGTATTCCATTGTTTAAATTATTAATTTATCAGAATACAAATGGATAATTACACGCTAACCAGGTCGATAGGATCGTAAGTTAACATCAGGAAAACCAACGCGGGAATTTTGCGCAATTATTTACTTTTTAACATAATTTATTAGTAGTAATAGTAATAATAGAATTTATTTTTTTGGATTTACTATCACGATGTTTCTCAAATAACCTTGATACATTTGCATATGAGTTGCTGTATTAGTCACAACCACAATTATCTGTGTAATAATGTAAAAAACTGCAAACTAATAGCGATTATACAGCGCAAWGTAGCCAATCGACTGGATTTGCTGATTTTTYACATCATTTCTTGGCAAAATTGMCCAAAAATTTYAAATATYTGAGGCTTGAAWASTTCAAAAATATCCTGGTCKAAGTCAGATATTTATTACTCAAGTATTAGAAACCTTCATAGCTGACAAATCTGTGAAGAACTGTAATCAGCTTTCGTTCTAAAGTGGATTGCCGAACAACGCAAGSAAAATATTGAAAATTTGTTGATTTTCTTCAGACGAAATTAGCTTCAGCAGTTTTTRCCCTGAAATTTTCCGAYCTTTGCAAGAAAGTTCGTGTTTTCAGGCTTTCAGAAATCGGGTTCTTCAGCTAAATTCGAYCAATTTTCCATAGGATTGAAGTCTCACAAAGAGCAAGTTTACATGCTTAAAGACTTTAAAGGAAAATSKAACAAATRTATTTTTCCATTCTCGAACGGTTTTTCTCCCAATTTTATAACKSRCTTTTTSCCATTGATTTGAWTTTTTCACCCAAAATGCGAACATTAAAAATCGGCTTTGGTGTTGAGAAGCGCCCTAAGACTCATAGTTAGAGAACCGGTTGAACTTTAAAGCTACAGTTTTCAGAGTCGGATAGAGCTTTAAACTGCGCATTTTTTAACACCAAATGTATTTTAAAGATTTTATTTCGTCTCATTGGAAAATGCTAAAATAAAAAAATAATGCGCGTGTTGAAAACCGCTCTTAGTCTTTGGTTGATATTTAAGGAACCCATTGGTCTTGAAAGCTCTGGTTGCCATTGCAAAATTTTAAAAAAATTCTGAACTTTTTCGTGTTAAACAATATTTAAAAAATGTGTCTAGTTTTCACGCGATATGCGAAAATTCAAAATTATTGCGCGTGTTGATAACCGCTCTTAGTCGTTGGCTTATATCTAGAGAACGCGTTGAGCCACGAACCTCCAATTGCTATTGCGGGACAGAGCCTTAAATTAGGCACTTTCTGATATCAAGCATTATTGAAGGAATGAAGTTTTTGCGCCAATAAAATTCAAAAATTTCTTACCGGGTTTGAGCGTGTTGAGAGCGCAAAATTTTGGGCGTGTTGAGAACCGCTCTTATTCTTTAGCGCATGTTTAGAGAACCAGTTAAGTTGACCCCCTAAACTTGGAACAATTTTTCAAACTGTCCAGTCCTGGTGTAGGAAGTTTTATGCATTTTTCTTCCAATTTTTCACCCTTTCCACTGTTCCTGTTCATGTAGGATCTAAGCCTAATAAGCTAGTTCACTACTTGACTAAACACCCTGTATAAATGGAAGGCCATTCTAATAACTCACCCATTTACTGGAACATGTTTGCTGTAAATTGGAACATGTTTGCTGCTAAACCTTTAATTGCGGCCACAATTTTTCAATTCCCCCGTGTGTAAATGCGTCGAAACATTAACATATAAGTTGATTGTTTCCAACGTTGGACAGCAATTTATTGGCCCATATTTTAATGTCAATTAAAGGACAATTTCTCAGATTTATGTAATTCTACAATTAATATCAAGTAGCGCAGTGTGAGTTATTTATTGCACAGTGGGAACTATCGACATTTTTTTAAACTGAAATCAACAGTAGCAATGAATATAGAATTAGAATTGAATTTTTCGCAGGACTAAAAAATGGCCCTCAAAGCCCTAAGTCTGCTTCTTCTGGAGGCGATTTTAATCCAAGCCGGTCCACAGTCCTACCAGAATTTGTTCTTGCAAAGAATCAACCCCCAATACGACAACACTGTCTATGGAGGAAATTTGATTGAAGACCACGTTTACAGTCGAGCGCCCGGTAAACTTGCGCCTCAAGCTCCGATTTTGCAATCAAACTACCACTCTGCCCCGCAAGTAGCTCCGGCCATTCAGTTTAACGGAGTAGCGGCAGCCAATGGGGGGTAAGTCTATGGAAAGACATCTAGAAAAAATGCTGAATTTTGTGGTTTTTTAGTCCCTTGGGGACTCTGTCTCCCAACCCCTACGGGCAGGGATTCCCGCAATTGCCAATCCCCCAACCCACCCAAGATCCCGCGTCTTTGGGGTGCGGCCAAGCGCCAGGCTTCTGCCCAAAATCCCGATACAGAAGTTATGATGGCTCTTGCAATAACTTGAATAACCCCGGCCTGGGAATTCCCCAAACCAGATACAACCGACTGCTGCCTGCAAAGTATGGAGATGGTAACTAGAGCGGTTAATTCCCCAAACAGGCAGGTTTAAAGTGGCCGCTCTATTAAAGGAATCAGCACCCCCACCATGGCCCTAAGCGGAAATCCTCTGCCCAGTGCCCGAGCGGTGTCATTCTCCATGTACCCAGACATACCCATAGAAGACCCCATTTGGACGCTAAACGCCATGCAGTATGGGCAAATCATCACTCATGATATGAGCATGATTGTGGGAAGCACTCAAACCCAGCCCCATGCAACCAGATGCTGTTCTCCAGACGGCCAGCTTCTAGATCTAGCCAACAGCCCCGAACATTGCTTCCCTATTGTGGTGCCCCAGAATGATCCAGCATACTCCCAGCAGAACATCAGATGTATGAACTTTGTGCGAACTATCACTGATAAGGACAGGAGGTGCATCGGGGACCATCAACCAGCCGAACAAGTAAGTGGCTGCATATTCACTTTAGTCATTTATTGTCTATTTATCAATTAAAATACGTTTCGGTGTTTTCCACCATCATCAGTTTCTATGTGTAGCGTTGTTGCTGCTTTAAGCCTTGGTATGCATTTTTGCGTGCCAAAAAATGCATGCCAAGTTGGTCACATGAGACTAATCTAGCTCTTCGTAGCTGAAAAAACCTGGAAACTCCTCGAACTTTCCTATTAAAGTGAAGTTTTTCCTCACTTAAAGCAGCGGATTTTCGCTTTGGAGTTATATTATGGGCCGGATTGACGGATTTTTGGTTTTATCTTGGCGAATTTAAGAAAAAATCGGTGTTGCCCAACTATC